TGACTACCCTCTATCTGCCACCATCATGTCTGAATACGCTAACAAGAAGACTCGTGGGGCTTTCATCGCGGCAGTGTTCGCTATGCAAGGTGTAGGTATCTTGGCGGGAGGTTTTGTGGCACTCGCAGTGTCTTCTATATTCGACAAAAAGTTCCCATCGCCGACGTATGCCCAAGACAGGATTCTCTCAACGCCTCCTCAAGCTGATTACATTTGGCGAATCATTGTCATGTTTGGCGCTTTACCCGCGGCTTTGACCTACTACTGGCGTATGAAGATGCCTGAAACTGCCCGCTACACTGCTTTAGTTGCCAAGAACATTAAGAAAGCCACACAAGACATGTCCAAGGTCTTACAAGTGGATCTTGAGGTTGAAGAAAGGGCGGAGGACCCCAAACTAAACTATGGCTTGTTCTCCAAGGAATTCCTTAGACGCCATGGGCTTCATCTCCTTGGGACTACCTCCACTTGGTTTTTGCTTGACATCGCCTTCTACAGCCAAAACTTGTTCCAAAAGGATATTTTCTCGGCCATTGGATGGATCCCAAAGGCAGCCACTATGAACGCCATCCATGAGGTTTTCAAGATTGCTAAGGCTCAGACTCTCATTGCCCTTTGCAGTACAGTCCCAGGTTACTGGTTCACGGTTGCTTTTATTGATATCATTGGAAGGTTTGCGATCCAACTAATGGGATTCTTTTTCATGACGGTCTTTATGTTCGCCATTGCCTTCCCATACAACCACTGGATTTTACCAGATAATCGTATCGGATTCGTGGTTATGTACTCACTCACATTTTTCTTCGCCAACTTTGGACCCAATGCAACCACTTTCATTGTCCCAGCTGAAATCTTTCCGGCCAGGCTTAGATCTACGTGCCATGGAATATCAGCCGCGACAGGTAAGGCTGGAGCTATCGTTGGAGCCTTCGGGTTCTTATATGCTGCTCAACCACAGGATAAGACCAAGACAGACGCAGGATACCCACCGGGCATCGGAGTCAAGAACTCACTGATCATGCTTGGTGTCATTAACTTTGTTGGTATGCTCTTCACCTTCCTCGTCCCTGAGCCCAAAGGCAAGTCCCTTGAAGAACTCTCCGGCGAGGCTGAGGTTGATAAATGATTATGCCGTGATATATTTGTCATTGGTTTTGTGCATTCTTACCTTTTACGTTTTTTTTTTGCGATGAGTGAATTATATTTGCAATGGTGTACTACTTCTACTTTTGCTTTTTGTTTTAATGTGTGTGCAACCTGTTAAGAAGTAAACTCATGTTATGTTCATAACTGTGAAATTCTAGCCGCTTAACACGGCCCATGAATACACATGAAATAATAGCTATCTTTATATATATAAATCTCTATATTATTTTCACCTTTTTTAAACCCAATAATATATCCAACGTTTGTAGATTAGTATTCATTGGTAGATTTTTTTCAAGTGGAATTAGGCCATATAGAACTAGATTTAACAATCTAACCAACTATAGTGCTATAAGTTTGGAAGCAATAAAGACATGAACAATCAAACGAAAAATATGCTTATTGGAAAGTTTGACATGAATGATATAAGGGCTAGCGGATGTAATTTTAGGGATCAATATCACTAGAACTTATAATTAAAAAATCAGCTTGCACTGGTTCATTATGTTGAAAAGATAATTGAGAGATTTTAGAATTACTGAACTACAAAGATTGGTGTATTGTAGTTCATGTAATCGAAAGATTTTTTTGTAAGATTGTAGATGAATTTATCATCAAATGAATACAAAGACAAAATAGGAGTATGCTGCAACAGTTTATTTGGTAAATGACCAATTGTACTAGACTGGATTTGATGCTGCAATAGTGTCGTAGAAGTCTTCCAAATAGACATTATAGCTTTAGTCAAAGCAAATGAGAAAGCCGAGTGGTTTCAGAACATCTTTGTTGATCCTCAAAATCAAACAAGTACGTATTCGGAGTCTTAAGGGTGAAAGAAGAATCTCTTCTTTAAAAAACGAGCCGACAATTTACAAAATTGACGAGCTAAAAATTAGAATACGAGCCGAGC